CCCCAAAACCCCAAAACCCCTCAATTCTATTAGTGATTATTATTGGCTTAAAAATGAAGATAATAGAAGTAAATTAAAATTTAATAAAATTTATACTTTATATTAATAGTAATGGAATCAACTAAATCTAATTTGGCATCTGAAATAATTGATCATAAAGAAATTTTGTTTTAAGTCTTACTGCATCTTGAAAAGGTTAACGACTTAAGATAAATGTCTTCAAGAGTAAGAGAATTAATTGCTGAATACAGGATATTCTAAAAGAAAACCCTTACCAAGGAAACTGAGACATTGGTTAGTGGACTTGAGACATTCTTGCTAATGAAAGAGCTTATACTCAATACAAAAATAAGTAAAAAGGTATTTTATTGCATAGTTTTAGCATTATCTAATTTATTCTTAGAATCTGTAAGAAGCTCTGAAAGATCACCCATAAGAAGTCAAGAGTTCAATCAACCATTTAAAGAAATGCTTAGTGGTAAAAAATGACTAGACCTTTATCTAAACAAGCATATTTGATATACCTAACTAATTCTGGCTGAGTGGTCTTGACTCGTTCTACTTTAAGGATTCGCCTTATAAGCAAGTGTCATTCAAGGAGTTCGGAAAGAACCGTGACAACTACGAATATATAAAAGAATTCAACAAATTGAATTCCTATGCACCTCATTACTGCCTTTACAACTCTACGACAGGAGATTATATCTAAATAAATAAGGGTTTCATTGATGGCATAGCAGATACTGATGGAAATGATATGAATGGTCAGCATGCTGACAAGAATAAATATCATTTCCTCGCTGATAGTCAACAATTCTCTGCTGTTGATATAGATTTTAGCGACCCAGCTGCACTCCTTAGAAGACAGAAGGGCATTTTAGAAGCAATTAACAAGCATATGAATACTGAAACATTTGAGCCATTAAAATTGCTTTCAAGGGGTATCAATACATATATCGTTTTGCTTTGTCATGGTGGAAAATTTGCTTTGAATGTGTATCAAGGTACCAAAATTATATTTTCCAGAACTGACAAGAAATATGTCTCCAGAGGAAAGCAAGGTGGTAGATAAATGAATAAAGATAAGGTTGCTAATGTCATGTCTAGTGTAGGATCTGAAATGCGAAGGAACAATGAAAAGATACTTTAAGAGCATATCCTAGAGTATATGGAAGAGGCTAAGCAATACATTGAAGAGGCTGATGTGATATTCTTGCATGCACCTGGTCTAAATAAAATGATATTCTTAAGCGAAAGCTAGTCACTCTAGAAGGTAGCACATAAAGTTAGGAATATAGAATTCAGGAGTAAAAATGCTAACTTCAGCGAGGCTCAAGAACTTGTGAAGAAAATCACAGAGTGCAAAGTCTTTCTAAAAGCTGAGATTAATTCATCTTCTAATTGAAAATATACATAGTTAATTATTCACTTTAATTTCTTAAGACCAATTTTACTAAGAATTATTTATATTATAACTCCTCGGGGTTTTGGGGTTTTGGGGTTTTGGGGTTTTGGGGTTTTGGGGTTTTGGGG